AACAGGATTTGGTCCTCGGGCTGCAGTTTGCCACCCTGTAAAACAGAGGCTAATGGCTGGGGACCCTCATTAGATGGAGTGACCAGTAAAGGACTCTCTGAGGAGGTGACCTATTAATACATAGATGGAGACCAGAGAACGAGAAAGAGCCAGCCAGGTGAACAGCCAAGACAGGGGCATTCCAGGCAGAGGGAACTGTGAGTGCAGAGGTTCCTATGATGGAAAGAAGTTTGGAGTGTTCTGGGGAATGAAAGGAGGAGAAGGGACAGGATTTGAGCTTCAAGTAGGTGGAAGCCAGATCAGGTTGGCCTTGGCTGGCTATGGTATGAAGGAGCCTAGACTTCAAGAACAAGGAGAAGCTGTGGAATAGGTTTTAAACAGGGGGATCCCATCTGATCTGCATGAAAAGAAGGTTCCACTAGCTCAAGAACAGAGAGAAGATTCTGTGAGGGTGCAGGTGGAAGCATGGAGACCAGGTAGAAGTCTTCTGTAATTGTCCACCCAAGAGATAATGGAGGCTAGCACCAGTTCCAGTGAAGGTGGATATGGAATTTCTTTGCCCAGTTTTCTGTTTCTTTCCCTTTCCCTGTCTCTGTCCCCCTCCCCAGGTCTTTGCCCCCCTCTCTTCAGTCTCTTTACCTTACTCCCCCCAAACTTCTCTGAGTCTGTCCCTCCCCAACTCCTTCTTTGGGAGTCTATCCCTCCTCCCTCTCTCTGAGGCTCTGGTTTACTTTTTCTAGATCTTTTCCTCCTCACTGAGACTTTTTCTCCCTTTCTCTGAATCTCTGTCCCCTTTGGGGGGGGGTCTCAATCCCTCTCTACATCTCTGTCTCTCCCCAGGGTCTTTGTCCCTCTCATTCTGGGTTCCTATCTCCTAGGTCTCTGTAGGGTGTTTGATCACCTCTGGGTCTATCTCGGAATCTCTCTCTTGGTCTTTGGCTCTGTATGTATGTGTTCCCTCTGCCTCTTTGACTCTCCACCATGTAGCAGCTCGCCAAATGCCCAAGGTCTTAGGGTGCATTTTTCCTGTTTGTCCCCCCCATGCTCGCCGCTCTCCTGCCACACCCCGTCTCCTTGGTCTCCCCTCTTTTAGCGCGGTGTCCAGCCTGAAGCAGACATTGTTGGCTGAGTCTGGGGTCCTGACCAGCTACAGCCACCGGGTATTCTCCGCCTGGGACTTTGGCCTTTGCGGGGATGTCCACGTCCGGCTGCGCCAGCGCACCATCCTATACGAGTTGCAGGTGCGCTTAGAGGGTGCACCAGATAGGGACCAGAGAGAGTGGGGATGAGAGAATGGGTGGGGCCTAGACCAGGGATGGGACTTTGGGGAGATGCTAAGTGGAGCTTGCTTCTAAGGAGGCGGGCCTTCGGGAATGAGAGGGTTGGGTGGAGGCTGCAGAGATGCCTAAGGTCAAAGGGCACAGGAAAAAGCTTGTAGCCGGAAAGGGGCGGGGCCTAAAGCTCCTTGGTTCAAAGTTGGAAAAGGGTAGGCCAGAAAGGGCTTGATAAGTTAGAACTGGAACTCCTGAACTAGGCATGAGTGCTGCTGAGTGGGGCCTCAGAAGGACAAGGCTTGGAGTCTGGGCAGAGATGGGAGTGGGGCTTTGGGTGCTGGGCGGAGCCTCGGGGGTGGGGCTTGGAGTCTGGAATGAGCCTTGGAGGGCAAGGTGTAGAGTGCTAGGTTGGGCCTCAGAGGGGCGGGGCTCAGAGTCAGATGGGTCTCTGAGGGTGTTGCTTGTGTAGTGGGCAGAACCTCGAAGGGGAGGGATGTGTTGCCGGGTGTGGCCTTGAGTGTGGCTTCTGATGCTGGGTGGGGCCTGGAAGGGTGGAGCCAGGGCATCTAAATTGTGTCCTTGGAGGGCCCTGGAGGGACTGAGACAAAAATTATAGAAGTCCTTAGAGGTGAGTTGCTATATCAGTTCTAGTTGAGCCCTGGCTCTGGACCACCTGCTAGGTCTGGGGGAATCGCACCCAAGTGGACATCTCTCCTGGCCTCAGGTGGAGCTGGAGGAAGCGGTGGTGCGGCGCCAGGCTGCGGTGCGGACCCTGGGCCAGCAAGCCAGGGTGTGGTCGGTGAGGGTGCTGCTTAACCTGCTGGTGGTTGCGCTCCTGGGGGCCGCCTTCTACGGCGTCTACTGGGCTACAGAGTCCACTGTGAAGCTGCAGGTTTGTAGGGACCTGAGGGAGGAGGGCCCCAGGGTCCTGGAACATATGTTTCCAAGAGTGGAGGGGACAGAGGTCTATGATTCCTGGGATCTTAGGAGGATGGGTACTTACGTTTGGACCTCAAACTTCAGAGTGCTGAAGGAAGAAGAGGCTGGGGGAGGACATCAAGTAAGGCTCCTCCAGGACCCCAGAGTCTCTTCTCTTGGCCCTCCTCCCTTTCAGGAGTGGTCCCTTGTCAAGCAAATGCCACTGTTAAAGCTCGGGGTGGATTACCTTCCATCCATCTTCATCTCCGGGGTCAACTTCGTGCTGCCACCCGTGTTCAAGTTCATTGCCCCACTGGAGGGCTATACCAGGAGCCGCCAGATCGTTTTAATACTGCTCAGGTTCGAGCTTTCTGGGGTGGGGCTGGGGATGATGGCAGGGCTGGTTGGTGGAGGGAACTTGGTTCTAGCAGATAACACACAGATATCCTGACAACATGGGATCCAGTGAGATCTGGATTCAAATCCCAACTCTCTCTGTCACTGAGCCTTGGTTTCTTCATCTGTGAAATGGGGAGACTTGTGAGCACATTCCGCGCAGGAGAGGCCTGGTACGCGGCTAGTGTAGCAGGGGATCAGTGCTGATCCCCTTTCTCTCCCTTGCTAGGACAGTATTTCTCCGCTTGGCTTCCCTGCTGGTCCTGCTCTTCTCTCTCTGGAATCAGATCACTTGCGGGGGCAATGCAGAGGCTGAGGAGTGCAAAACCTGCGGCTACAATTACAAAGAACTTCCGGTGAGGAAGACAGGGGCCAAGAGTCCTGGGTGCTTGAAGGAAAGGAGGAAGTGGGTGGGTCCACATTCCTGGTTTGGGAGGAAGGGGGAACTTGGGGTGCCAGAACATCCTCCCCTTGAGGACAGGGGTATGGATGTTTGAAGAACTGAAGACCCCCAGAGAAAGTATTGCTGGGTCCCATACACTTGTGATTTAGAGATTCAGATGCTGGGTACTGAGGTTTTTCTGACCCCTTTCTTCCTTCCTCAGTGCTGGGAGACTCGGCTGGGGCAAGAGATGTACAAACTCCTGCTTTTTGATCTGTTGACTGGCATAGCAGTCATGCTGCTCTTCCAGTTCCCTCGGAAGTGAGAGCCCCGCCCCTCGCGGTGGCCCCGCCCATTTCGGAGCAGGCCCCGCTCACCACCCAGTTCTCTTCCCTTCGCCCCGCCCCCTCCTTTAATCTCTCTGCTCTGGTTTCTGTGCCCTAAGTCTGCAAACTACGCCCCCTCCACTTGTTAGAGTACCTTCTCTCTGGCTCCGCCCCCTGGACACACCCCCTCCAGAACCTGACAGATATACTCACTTCTGATTGGTGGGCGGGACGGTGGAGGCGGGGAAACCTCAGGCCTGCACGCTTTTGACTCGCCCGGCTCCTACCCCTCAGGTTCCTCTGTGGCCTCTGTCCCGGGGCGCTGCGTCGTGTAGCAGGAACCCAGGAATTCCAGGTGCCCGACGAGGTGCTAGGGCTCATCTATGCGCAGACGGTGGTCTGGGTGGGGAGTTTTTTCTGCCCTCTACTACCCCTGCTCAACACAGCCAAGTTCCTGCTGCTCTTCTATTTGAAGAAGGTGAGGGTGGGGAGCACCTGTCTGAAGGTGGAGGTATTGAGGCTTGGGCTTGAGCCCTTGGGGAGGAGGGGACTAAGGGATGTGACTCCTGGGTCCTAGGGGAGGAGGAGGTTAAAGTCCTGGAATACTGGATCCTGAGAGAAGTGGGGTTTGGAGGACAGGCTCCTGGATGTGGGAGGAGGGGTCTAGAGTATCCCAACTTTTAGGTCTGAGGGACCCGACTCCTGGGTCTGATGGTGGGAAAGGACTGGGGACTCCTGGATCCTGACTGAGGAGGGAAGGGGCCAAGGGCCAGGAATCCTGGATGGATAAAATAGAGAGACTGGGGGTCAGCCTTTTGTGTCTCAGATGCCCTCTTTCCCCCACCAGTTTGCCCTCTTCTCCATCTGTTCCCCGGCCTCCAACACCTTTCGAGCCTCCATGGTGAATTTCTTTTTCCCTCTGGTCCTTCTCCTGGGTCTGGCCATCTCCGCCGTTCCTGTGCTTTATAGCATCTTCCTGTAAGTGTAAGAAGCGCCTGCCTCTGTCCCTCCCTACACCCTCATCCAGGGTCTGACTTGGCCATCCTTGAGGTCTGCCTTTCTCTGACTTCAGGATCCCGCCTTCCAAGCCGTGTGGTCCATTCCGGGGATGGTTGTCCATCTGGGCCCAGATCCCACAGTCTATTTCCAGTCTCCCTCAGATCGCCCAGAATTTTCTCTTCTTCCTGG